CTGGATCCCGCGTGAGGAAACCCCACTGGATCCCGTGTGAGGAAACTGCTCGATCCCGCGTGAGGAAACTCTGCTGGATCCCACGTGAGGAAACTCTGCTGGATCCATCGCTTGGGCGCGCCTTGCCCCGGGCCTTGTCTTGGCACAATCCTCGCCAGTTTGCAGAGCAATCTCACGTGTGCCACCTGCCCCGAGTGCTCACCGTCCTCCCTCTATGCTCACAAAAACGCTGTTTTTAGCGATTCTTGTGAAAATGGTGAGACCTGAAGGCCCTCCGTACTTCATGGGGTGACTCGGGCAGACGGAGGCCCTCCTGCTGTGCAAAACAGCATGGAACAGAACCCGCGCCGCCCAGGCAGACGGGGCGCAACGGGGGAAACGGGCTACAACCAGCGGTGTACGCAACACATTCAACACACACGTATCAACACTTTAATATATATAAAAATATATTAAATAACACAAAATGTAATCTTAACTAACAGTAAATACTTTTTCAGAACAAATAATATCTCCCTGAGATGACTGGGTCCCTAAGGCAAAAATCAGCAAAGCAAATTTTTGATGGTTAATACTTTGGTTTTTTAAGTGTAAATTAAAATAACCACCACATTTTATCTATGTTTTGTTAATCCTGGTGACTGACGAATATCTAAACTTTGCTTTGGTTTTACTTGCATTTCCTGCTACAATTATAGTGAAAACTTAGGGTTCAAATTACCAAAGTATTGGAAAGGAAAAATAATTGCTGTGACCAGCAATCAACATCAGCACTAAATTTTAACAGTAATAACTGCATGACAATAATGCTCAGCTACAAAGTCCGAATAATTAATGAAAACATTGATACAAAAGAGCGACTGCAGCCATTCTACTATGGGAGATATATTGTTGTAGTATCCCAGCGGCTGGGCCAGCATCACAGCAGATCCAGTATAGAGAGAGGTGGTCCTTGCTTGACAGGAGGACTTGCCACTCGCAGCTCCCATTTACTAAAGTGTTTATTTAAGAATATCTATTACAATACTTAAGAATCAAACTTGGCAACACAGACTCCCTAAGCTATGCACATGCTCAAATAGACAAAACTTTACTTTTATTGTGCTGGAGAATTTGTCTGGAGAAATTGCCTTGAGAATTTATTTACGTTTGTTTTTCTTACGACAATAAAACCAAGCTTATGCATATGCGTTTGCAGGATTGGTGCTTAAGTGTAATATATAATAGTTATTTTACAAGTAACATTTCTCATGCCCATTCAGCCCAAATGGCATTGCATACAGGCAGCGGTTTCCACCAGTGAACATATGTTCCTGACAAATTAATTACAGAAAACAATATTATCCTAATTGTTATAATTAGCAATACCATATATTTAAACTGTTTCTAAAGCAGAGATCCAAAAAATAGTAAAGGATGAGAAAATTCCTACTTTTGTACAGTGAACTCTTAGTTGAGGAAATTTATGGGTTAGAAACAAAGAAGAAACTGCAACTGAAGTCATTCAGTGCCTTTCTGAAAATCATTTCCCAATGTTACTGAAATGTTTTTATGCAGTTAGTTGCCAAATAACTAGATTATTCTATTGTAGCATTGAATTTGCTGGGTTCTGCAGAAGGCGTTTAAAGAATGAGAGAATTTGTTAGTATTTAAAACACTCTTTAGGACACTGAACCTGTGCTGCTTTTTCCCCAGATGACATGGTGGGTTTGGGGGCATGCAGAGCCTGTTAGGACGATGCATTTCTAACTAATCATGCCAAAAATCCAGGTGATGAGTTATCTGCCGTATTTCATTTATGCTTGAAAGGTTCTGTCCCTTTTCCCTTGAAAATCTTGAAGAGAAACGCAAAATTTGTAAGAAACTCTTATATTCTAATCCCTCGTCGATTTACACGAGTCACAGGAGTGTAGCCCCTGACAGAAAGCAGCCACACAGGCTAAGAAGCTCTCTGAAGGATGGGTATTGGAAACCAGAACTGAAACCTAGTGGTGTGTAATAAACCCATTGTTTTGTCAATAAAGAATTATTGAGGAAAAATACATTAGACATTATTTAAATGTGCTTTTGAACACATTTCTGCTACCGTTTCCTGTAACACAAGAATCCCATCTGTATTCCAAAGACAGAGAATTTTGAGCACTTGTTTTCTGTATGGAAGTATGGCGTTTAATATGATTTTGGCAGTATGTTTAACGACAGTTTTTGGAGTAGCTAAATTTGGTCTCTCTGTGAATATTCTAGTAACTCGTTGAATAGGTGTTTGTGCTGTAGCCAAATACTGATTATTCTTCTAAGAGCATGTGCATGAACATCCGTACACACGGCTTCCAAACCCAAAATCATAAATACCACTCAAGATGGTGACAGGAAAGAAATTTTCGTTACAGATTATGCTCGCACGTAAGGCTTATACCGCCATCTGATCTAATGGCTCCTCAGCAAGTTTCTAAAGTGAACTGAGAAAAAGAGGATCATTATCCACATTTTTCCAAATTACTCACAACTTTTGGTGCCCTGATCTCTGGGATGCAGACTGAGATCTAAGAGGGGCAGTGAAGAGCCTTGGCTGTTACGAAAAACAGGCAAACTGCAATCGCTGGCAGTTCCAGTTCTGAGTTGTTCTCTGTCCTCTCCATGGCACTTGGTGGCCTCGCAGACATGTAGAAGTAACCACTGGTAACTCTCAAGGGAAACTTGATGCGGGATATCCTTAAGCAGGAATATTGATGAAGACTCTTGAGCCAGGAGAAGGCTGAGGTTAAGAAGCTCGGATGTGCAGGCTGGGCATCTAGCCAGGGCTTGAGGGGCTCCCAAAAGCTTGACTCAGTAAAGGCAGGGGCACTAAAGAGATGGCACGACCCAGAGCAGACGGCAGGCCAAAAGAAGCTGGTGAGAATAAAGGTCTTGTGGGAAGGGCATAATGGGGGGGAGTAAAAGAGAAACCTACCACAGAGGAAGGGAAAAGGGCAAACAGAGCATG